TTGATTGTAATAGATCTATTACGATTGTAATAGGGGTGACAACACGTCTGCAATACGAATACGCATGGCGACCGCTTGTGCAGCGGCCGTGGCCGGAATTTCTATATTGGGGATCCGTTTGCTTGAAAACTAAGTAAGTTATCAAAAAAATCACAAGAATAAAAAAAACTTCTTTGGTTCTTTGGCTATAACTTTGTCGCTTATTACATACATCTATCTTCAAAAACAAAAAGTTTTCTCGATCGAGTATTTCTGGCTGCAATTTTAACAATTTTCGTGTCATTTATACTTAAAAAAAATATAATATGGTGACTCATAATTTTTTTCTGCATTTCTATTATGTCAGTCATGATAACAAAGGTCTAAATTAGCTCTCCAAAAAATTTCAATTTAATTGGACTAAAACTATAGGGGAGATACAGCGTGTTGAATAAAAATTTAGAAAAATGCATAAAATTGGATATTTTTTGGAAAATGCTGGTCTTGACCAGTTTCGCAATTCCAGATCGTCTGGGGAACTCCAAAATCGGATCCGTCAGGTCAATTTACATAAGAAAACAATTTTTTTTAGATGGTTGTTGGCGATGTCTTATAGAGGGTCCTAAAAACGCATCGTAGAGGTGCCTCGTTCTCTGACTATTTTAACTTCTGCTTTTGCTTGTCGGTATTGCCTTCTTTTACAGCGGAGCTAGGGTCGCTTTTCAATGTATTATGCGCTTCTCTTTTTCTATCTATAAGGTCTTGAATTTCAGTGTCGTTCTCACCAAACCAAAACCAATATATCACGAATGCTCAAACTATACATATACTGAACTTCGTTGACCAGTCAGAAACAACTACTCCGAGTGCAAATACCCCTACCGGCGTTGAACTACACTGATTGGTCTGAGCTTTCGTTGGCAATAGAAATTGTTAGAAAGATTTTTACAGGTAATGACCAACGTGAATACAGGGACACTTCGGTCCCTGTTTGGGAATCGGCCCACTGAGCAGTGGACTCAGGCTTCCCGTGCCAATCCTTGACGCGTTTCGTCCTTGTTAGGACTCATCAGAAGGACATAGGCTGAAGCTCCCTGTCCAAGCAAAATTGAACTTCGTTGACCAGTCAGAAACAACTACTCCGAGTGCAAATACCCCTACCGGCGTTGAACTACACTGATTGGTCTGAGCTTTCGTTGGCAATAGAAATTGTTAGAAATATTTTTACAGGTAATGAACAACGTGAATACAGGGACACTTCGGTCCCTGTTTGGGAATCGGCCCACTGAGCAGTGGACTCAGGCTTCCCGTGCCAATCCTTGACGCGTTTCGTCCTTGTTAGGACTCATCAGAAGGACATAGGCTGAAGCTCCCTGTCCAAGCAAAATTGAACTTCGTTGACCAGTCAGAAACAACTACTCCGAGTGCAAATACCCCTACCGGCGTTGAACTACACTGATTGGTCTGAGCTTTCGTTGGCAATAGAAATTGTTAGAAAGATTTTTACAGGTAATGACCAACGTGAATACAGGGACACTTCGGTCCCTGTTTGGGAATCGGCCCACTGAGCAGTGGACTCAGGCTTCCCGTGCCAATCCTTGACGCGTTTCGTCCTTGTTATGTCTATTGCCAACGAAAGCTCAGACCAATCAGTGTAGTTGTTGTTTCTGACTGGTCAACGAAGTTCAATTTTGCTTGGACAGGGAGCTTCAGCCTATGTCCTTCTGATGAGTCCTAACAAGGACGAAACGCGTCAAGGATTGGCACGGGAAGCCTGAGTCCACTGCTCAGTGGGCCGATTCCCAAACAGGCACCGAAGTGTCCCTGTATTCACGTTGGTCATTACCTGTAAAAATCTTTCTAACAATATACATATACTGTTTTAGGCCTTTTTCTTTGCTAGTATTAAGATAAACTAGATCGGTTTCCCAAAGCCCAAACTGAGCTCACTATAAAAATCAAGTTTCAAATCTTTATTTTTTATTGAAATTCCTGCCCCAGAGTTAGATCGCAAATAAATTTAATTTCTATTTTGGGCGAATTGCAATATGCTTATAATTAGGTAGTAAGTATATTTCTTCATTTAGCTACTTTAAGGATACAATACGGGGTAGTTTAACTGAAACTTATAAACATCATTAGCTATTTTCTAACTTTTGTCTAAATAGAATAGGCAAGCATTAAATTTGTCTTAGTTTGCAGTTTAACGGTATTGCAAGGAATTAGGTATATATACTCCTGGACAAAATTATCGCACCACTGCACATAAGCACCACCATAAGCAGTGGTGCGATAATTTTGTCCAGGAGTATAGTTTTATTATTTGCTTGTCCAGTGCTCAAGTACATTATATATAGCTAGCAATCTTATTATCCATAATGTTGATGAATTTGGTTAGTAAGTAAACATTTTGTTGTTTTCTTGAAACGCATCTCACAGTCAGGTTAGAAAATTCACATGAATTTAGTTTTAACTCCTATTTTTCATTCTCAAGTTAATTTATATGTACATTTCCAATATAAAATAGGTACCTGAATAATTGATCTGAAAATTCGGTAACGTCTTTACCATTCTTCAATGTTTGCATATTTTCGTCGGATGGTGAGTATCTACTTACATGGCTCAAAAAAGCTTCGCTTGGCTCATGAAAGGTTTATGTCAGATTTATTTCTTCTTGGTCTCATTCTTTTAAGCTGAACAAGTAACAGTTTCTTCTGCTCAGCTTTACAAGTTTAATAGTTATTAAAAAGATTAACAAGGTTTTAGACCACTTAAACCATAATTAAATCAGTATGCATCAAATTTCATCGGATGGAATCTCCAATAAATCACTTGATTTACATATGAGAATGTTTTTTGTCTATGAACGTTGTGCAAATTTTTTATTTTAAACTAGAATGGCTAGTTCTAGTTCGTCCTTCGCAAAAAATATAAATATAACAACATAATGTGAATCAGTTATCAGTTGTTTTTTGGTGAAAAAAGCTTAAACATGAAGTTAGTTTTGGTAAGTTTAACTTTTTTTTATTTTGGTGTAACATAGGGTGGTTTAACATTGGTCGTGAAAAAAAAAAAATCGGATTTTTGTTTTATTGGGAGTTTGTTTTTTCCAATCTCACATTCGCACAATTTTTGATTAGTTTTCTGTTATTTTGACAATAATATGCAGTTATGTATATTTTCAATGAATTTCTCCTCTATTTTAAATTGATGAATAATTTGTCATGTTTTAAGTCGATATCTTGAAAAAAAAAAATAAAAATCAGGATAACCTAATCAAACCAAATGAGGTCGGGAAATGAGGACGGGAAAGAAGGATGGGAAATTTTTTCTTGCTCCATTTTCCGTCGTACAACGGGAAATGAGGACGGGAAAAAGTTCCCGTCCAAAATGAAAAGACAGAAATGTGACATTTTCAAATTTTTAAAAAGTCAGTATTGTCATAAGTAATTTTGAAAGCATTGACAATTTTACATTGTATTGTCAACATAATGTCATTTTGACTTTTATCTTTAAAAAAAAAAAACAGACTTTAAAGCATTGAATCAGTATACCGCCATTATTTTGGATCTCAAAATACCTGGAAAAAAACGGCTTCATTTTCCATCTCCATGTTCCTACTCCTCCCACCTAGGAACTTACCTGCTCTAAGTTTATGGTTAAAAATAAAATTATTTTTCCAAAATAGAGAGATTTTAATTTTATTATGGTTTTCCTTATTGTCAGCGTGTACCGTCCCTAACTTTTTTAGCGATGAGAGTTTATTTAGAGAGAAAAAGGCGAAGTGAACTTATGCTTATGTTTTTTTTTTTAATGGACGTTTGCACCATCCATTCTAAGGAAACCTTAACAAGTATTCCTTGCAGTGACATTTTCCCATCTAGGTATTTCATTTTAACGAATTCTTATTGTGAAGGCTGTCCTTAATATCAAACGGTATGCAAACAGCCATAAGTAATATGATCGCCTTAATTTCAAATGTCATTTTCTTATGAGAAAATGTTCAACTTTCTGCAATTTTTTTCAATAACTTATTCGATAAATCGATAATATTTTGCCACTGTACGGTATCACTGTGGGCCAAATTAAATTTCCAACTTTTTCATCCATAATAACTTAATATAAGTTGCTTCGACTTAATTTATTTTCGAGGGGTATTGGGTTAAGTAGGCCGTAATGTTGTTGTGAGGCTGTCCAGTTTTAATTAAAAAGCGAGTTAACACGTTCGCTGCCAAGTACGAGTAGTAGACAATCTTATTACAGGTGCCAGCTACGAGATGACTCGTATTTTGCATCGTGTCGTTCAAAGTCAAATTCGTTGTAAATACAGGTTAATGGGGGTGCCTGGCCTACGGGACATGTATAAGAATATCACACAGACATATTTGAACAAAAAAAAAAAAAAATTCAAACATGGTAATCCTTGGTATGGTATGGTATGGTATGGTATTTTTTTGCAAAAATATTGGTCAGGTACTACTTTGGATGAATATTTTATGTTATTTAGACCTATTTCGATGATAAAATATAGTTTTTCAACATTGGCATTTTGGACCCGATCAACCGAAATCTCTCTGGCAGCGAACGTGTTAAAAAGTTACAGTCAAGACCGGACTTAGGTGAAATTTTCCAAAATGTTGCATTTAACAAAAGAAATCTGTTTCACTGGAATTTGAATTCATAAGTTTTTTCGAAAGTAAGTCCGGTTCTGCATGGAACAACTTTTCGATCAAAACTGGAGAGGCTCACCAAGAACATAGCAGCCTAAGGACCCTCCCAAAAATAAATTGAATCGGAGTTACATAGAAAGTTTTTAGCGACCAGCTATTGTACATGTTTGCTCTTATTCTTGGAGAAGAGATTTTAGGCTTCACGAAGTGTCAGCTGCCGTGTATTTTCAACAGTAGTATCTATTTTTTTATTCGCATAAAAATAACGGTATCTTTATCAAAGATAACCAGAACATCGATCAAAATTGTCAATATGCTGTATAACTTTTAAATAAATGTTTTTTTTTTCAGTTCTTAGCACTTATAGTCATTGGCTTGGCGCATGCCGCTGACAAAGCTCAACCGGCCAAAGATGCCAAACCGGTCAAAGATGCCAAATTGACCAAAGATGGCAAAGTAACTAATAAAAGAAGCATTTACTTAGGATCCTATATACCTTCTGGAGGCAGTTTGGGATATTCTTCTGGATTGACAGGTAATTTATTAAAAAAAGGTGCATCATGAGCTTACGCTTGCGCAAAATGCTGATTCCTGATAATTATTATGATGCAAAATTGATTCCCCTTAGGTACACATTACAACAGATGATGGCTCATAATCATCATCATCCTTGGCCTCCTGGATCCACCGCTGAATATAGGCCTCCTCAAGTCGTTTCCATCTTCCTTTTCTGAGTAGTCGCAATGTTATTCGTCTTGAACCTTTTCAGGTCATCGCCCAATCGGGTAGAGGGCTCTTCTTAGCTTGTCCATCTGCCGTTCATCAATCTAGCAACGGATCCGGTCTATTTCAATTATACCTACTCACTCGATGAAGTCAACAACATGGTTCATCTTCGTTCTACTTCTTATCTCCTCATTTCCCACTGTTTCTCTAGACTCGCGCCAAGCATTGATGTTTCTATTTTTCTTTGTACAACCCGTAGTTTTCTTACCGATACCTTTGTTAGAGGGGAAGTCTCTGCGCCGTATATTAGTATATTTTGAACCATTCATCCATATTTGGGGATAGAAGGACTTGAGTTAGACTTGGCAACGGTATCAATTGAGTTCCTTTTTGCGGAACAATAGCTATTTCGTTTTCAGTTTTTGATTATATACCTATTTGAATCTTCATGTCATTCTAGATTACTCTGGCTTCGGCAGCTTAGGTGGTATTAGCAGTTATAGCACTGGTAACACGCACTCACACACTCACGAAGTCCAAACAATTACTCAACACGTACCAGTACCAGTTCCAAAACCATATGCAGTGCCTGTTGTCCAAAGAGTAGCCGTACCACAACCCTATCCTGTACATGTTTCTCATCCAGTAGCTGTTCCTGTTCAAGTTAGAGTACCTGTAAGTAATATTTTGTTTTTATTGTGATCGGTATTTAACTTCTGTATTTTCAAGGTGGAAGTACCAAGACCATATCCAGTACACGTGAACGTTCCAGTACCATACGCTGTTAAAGTGCCAGTTGAGGTTCCCAGGCCTTACCCTGTTGCAGTACACACTCCAGTACATCATGTACATAGCTACGTAAGTAGCTATGGATCTGGAAGCGGTTTTGGATCTGGAAGCAGTTTCGGATCTGGAAGTTACGGATATGGTTCTAGTTTGAGTGACTGTTAGTAAATTCTCAAGATAACGAATTTTTGTGAGGCATGATAATTCTAAGTTAGCAAATTAAAATAAATGAATGAAATTTGAAAATATATAGTTTTATTGAAAGGGGTATAAAGAAAACAAAATATAATATGCTATTAATTCTATTAATGTGTGGATTGATTACTTACTATTCTGTCCGAAGGAATTAAATCTATGAGATAAAGAAACGCTAATTATTGATAATTATCACCGCAGAATCCGCTGATGTCACAAATAATGTGAGAATACTCTGCTGCTTATAGGGATTTTACATAATTTTATATAAAAATTGAAAACTTGTTTGTTTTTAAATAAGCTACGGGTGGGGTATCCTTGTTTGAAAAATTCAGCAGGAATGCCATCAGTACCAGCTGACTTATTGTTCTTTAGTTGTCTGATTGCCTTTCTGACCTCCTCTAGTCTTAGACCCTCGCTAGTTCTTGTTGTAGGTATTGGTTTCTGTGGAATTTCGTTATCATTATTAATTTGCGAATCTCTGTTAAGTAGTTTCTCAAAGTGTTCCTTCAAACGAGAATTAATGGAAGAACTGTCTTTAAGCAGTCTGTGCCATCTTTGGATCGTAAGGGATTATTGAGTCCTTAAGTGGTTGGTCCGTATACCTGAAAGGCTACTAATACTCGCATTTGCCTTTGAACTTCTGCTTTTGCTTGTTGGTATTGCCTTCTTTTACAGTTGAGCTGGGGTCGCTTTTCAATGTATTATGCGCTTCTCTTTTTCTAAAGACTTGAATTTCAGTATCGTTCTCATCAAACATCAATTGCCATTTCGTTATTATACTCAACTGTTTTAGGCCTTTTTCTTTGCTAGTGAGGAAAACCACCTATTTGAAATATTATTTCTTCAAATCTACAATTTTTAAAACGTTTACTACCTATAGAAAAGCAAATAGTAAATTTTGCAACCATGTATGCGCTGTCAAGCAGGGGGGAACGAAGGCGCGCCACACAAAAAGCGTACCGAAGGGTAGACAGAAAATGAGAGACCAGAGGGAACAAGCACAGGTTGTCCGCCATTATTCATTATTTAATTTTTATTTTCTTATCCAATAATTCAGTTCCCAGCCAGTAATCAGGCAGTTAAAAAAGGCTGAATACATTTTTTTTCAACATTTTTTGTCTTTTAATACAGTCCACTACGTTTTCCTGCAAGACTGTCATGTCTTCAGGCAATTTTCAGCCACCGAACATTTCAGACAAGTTTCCGCCAGTTTCTTTTTCATTTGAAATTGAGCTCAACATTGGACAATCAAGAGCAAAGATTAAACCAGGAGAGGTGCTATAGGTTAGCTTTGGAGTTATTCCATAGTTTAAGTTAAAATCTTGAATTTGTAATACATAAGGAGAACGTTTTCCATCAATCAGGTTCAAGTTTCAAGCCTTTCCGCACATTTTGCTATACAATTTTATTTTTTTACTTGTTTGTCATTATACCAGCAAAATGTCTAAAAAGAGTAGATCAAAAAGTGATGCATTTAATAATAGTGGAGCGAATTTTCCTGCTGATCAAGAGGAAATTTGTTCTTTAGTTCGGAAGAAAGCAAATTTAAAAACAAGTTTAACAAGATTTTCTAGTTTATCCCAAAAATTGAAGCAGAGCTAGTTCGAAAATTCAAAATTAGCTGAGCTTCAATTACGAATAGACAATTTGGAATATCATTTACTTCAAGAATTTCCCGGGTTAGATTTCAAATTCAAGGGCTTAGACCCAGCTAACTATGACGGTTCAGACTTAGAGAATTTTGAGAGCCATTATTTTTCAATAATTTCAAAAGCGAAACAATTTATTTCAATCAATACTGAATCAAGGGGTGCTCCAGCAGGCGGACAACCTACTCATAACAGCAGTATTCAATCCTTTAATCGACCACTAGGCGTAAGTCTTCCAAAGATAACATTGCCAAAATTCTCAGGAGCATACGAGCAATGGTTTGAATTCAAGGATCTTTTTGTTTCCCCAATACATTACAATTCCGCTTTAACATCCATTAAGAAGTTTCATTATTTGCGCTCATATTTGGAGGGTTCTGCTGCTCAGTGTTTCAGTGCTCTTGATTTTTCTGAGCAAAACTAAAGTGTTGCTTGAAATATTTTGTAAGGTAGGTTTAACAACGAAAACCTATCGGGTCTTCAAAAAAAAAAAACAATCAAAGATTGCTTTGAATACGAAAACGTATGTCGCATTATTGTTTCTTCATTGGTTAGGATTTTTGACATGACATTTTGACATTGAAGTTAATTGACAAAATTAAAGAAAAATAGTGCTAAGACATACGTTTAAAAAACCATAGCAATCTTTGATTGGTTTTTTTTTTGAAGACCCGATACTAGTGCATAATATATATATAAAGTCAGACTCCTCAGGGGGACTTCGATTTGTTGTCGATTCCTTGTCAAAAAATTTAAAATGTCTTGAAAATTTGGGTATTCAGACAAACGCATGGGATCCTATCGTTATATTCTTAGTCACCAACAAGTAAGATGCAGAATCACTTAGAGAGGAATTTAAGGCCGAATTACCTACACTTGATGAATTCAAAACATTTTTATCAAGCAGGGCCGATTTCTTAGAAAAATTAAGTATGCATAAAATTAAACCTAACTAAATCCCTTGGCAAACCTCTAAACCAGAGAGCAAGGCATTTTCAGGTAATTCTACAGGGAATGAAATTTACAAAAGTAAATACTCTTGCTATTTATGTCAAAAACCACATGGAATTTATGAATGTTCTGAATTTCTTTCTGTTACAGCATCTTAAAGACGGGATAAGGTTTTGGAACTGAGGTTGTGTCCGAACTGTCTGCAGCGTCGTCATTCTTTGGAGGGTTGCAAGTACGGTAACTGAAAAAAGTGTAGTGAAAAACACAATTCATTGTTACATGTTCTTTCTGTAGTCAATGCTCCGGTCCTTCTGAAAAATTCACATTCAGATATTAATCAGGAGGATCAAGTAGCTACTTCAGTATACAGTGGTTGTAATTATCAAACGTCAGGTCAAGTTCTACTCAAAACCGCTCTGGTGAAGGTACTGATTTTCTTTGCGAGGCTTCACTTGACAACGGTTCCATGTCAAACTTCATTTCCAGTCACTTTGCCGACAAATTGAAAATTCCCAAATATAAGATCAACTTTGCAGTGAAAGGTATAGGTTATTCAGAGTCACATTTGAAATATTCTTACAACATTAGTCGTTCCATTAGAAATTTACTGTGCTACTTCAGTGTTTAATAATTCCAGAAATCATTGGTAAACTTCCAATGGCATATATCAGTGCGGATGCCTTTGATATTCCCGATTACGTTCGACTTGCAGATCCAGATAGATAGATAGATAGATAGATAATGTGCTTTATTGTCATAAAAACGATACAAATTGTTTTGTGGACAAAGCTAGTACATACATATAAAAATCACTTATAAAAGAATATCCTCGTAAGATCATTGCAATAGCAGTCTAAAAACTAGATTTCCATAACAATCAAAACAAAAAAAATCACAAGCATTAAAACTAAAAACATTGAGTCACGAAGAGAACATTAGCACCCTCAATAAAAAATATAAAACTTTGAAATGGAGTAAACAAAAAAAAAAAAAAAAAACAAAACAAAAAGGTACCTAGGTGTGAAGCCGAAGTTATTAGTAATCACAAAATACAAAACCTAATTATAAAATTGGAGACATACACTTCATTGAATATGAACATACAAAATAAGAATATAACATTCAAAATGCTGAAGTCAAACAATGAATAAACTAAAAATAAAAATAAAAGTAAAAATAAAAATAAAAAGACAAAGTAATAGGTGTATATAACATAATAAGACAATACAAACTGGTTTTGTCAAAGTGGTCCAGAAAAAAAAAATTCAATCTGCTAAGCAACAATTATAAGCTCTTTAAGAAACCGGTACCTGATCCAGATCAAGAAACTCACCGTCAAGAAACTCGCCAATACTATAAAAAGCCTTTCCAAGTAAGAACGTTTTTAAATTTTCACGAAACAATTTAAGATTTGGTAAACCCCTAATTTGAGGCCGGATGTGGTTAAAAATTTTAATTCCACTGTAGATAAAGGAGCTTCTGACAAGACTGGAGTGAGGGATTGGTAAACGCAAATTACCATTATGGCGAGTATTGTAGGTGTGTTCTTGAATAGGAAATGTAAGAATTCTTCAAACCATGTGAAATAGATCTCCAAAACACTAAGCTGGGCTGGATCATATCAGGTCCTGTTAATGTAACAAAGTTGAAAGTAGTTCCAAAGGTCGCCTCATGTTACTTCACAAACACATTATGTAGTCAAAGTCAGCTGGCCAAGTTCTGGAAAATGAAAGAGATCTCCACCGATGTTATCCCATCCAACGAAGAGATTCTTGCTGAGGAACATTTCTCAGATACCTTTTATCGAAACTCAGAAGGTCGTTTTGTGGTTTCTATACCATTAAAAGAAACAACTAGTATACTTGGTGAATCCTAGCTAAATGCAAAAAGGCAATTTTTCAGCTTGGAGAGAATTTTTTTTTTCTAATTTAAAATTAAAATCCATATACATTTACTTTATGACTGAATATAAAAATCTAAATCACATGAGCCAATTTGAACAGTCAGATAATGAAGTAAGTGATTACTCACCACATCATGATGTGTTCAGAGAAGACAATGATACAACAGAACTTCGCGTTGTCTTCAATAATAGTGCTTTATCTTCAACTGGACATTCTTACAATAGCATTCAAATGGTCGGATCAGTTGTCCAAGATGATCTGTCATCCATTCTCATCCGATTCTGTCAACATGCCTACGTTTTCACTGCTGACATTTGTAAACTATATAGGCAAATTTTGGAGAAGGAGGCTTTTAGATCTTTACAACTTA